AGCGTCCTTGCTCCTAGTAGCGATGCCAGGAGCCCCTAGTAGCTTCTTGTTCCTGGTAGTAGGGCCAGGAGCCCCTAGTAGCGTCCTTGCTCCTAGTAGCGATGCCCTTTGTTTTTGTTGGCAAGGTGTAGTTTCCAGTTGTGGCTACACTTGGTGGTTGTTCTTGGCCATTGCACAGCGAGTTGTGAGACACTGACATGTCGAATGACCAAGCATAGCATGGACTAGCCATGGGCCCCAAATGACCCAACCAAAAATGTGAGGGATCTACATGGCTACTACATGGTGTAGGAAACGCATGGGAAAGGTTTCAACATAATCACATGGAACAAACATTAAGCACAAACACACAGAACATGACCTTCAAACGTGACATGCATGTGCCATGCAGCACGACTGCCTCCTTCACGTCCTTCACGTCCTTCACGTCCTTCAGCCTCCACCTGGCAGGTCTTGGGTGGACAGCGAGCGGGGGAGCCGAGAGCGGGACAAGCGGCGGTCACCCTCCGTGGATCATGACATCGTACGTGGTGATGTATTTCTGATCATAGGACATGTACCACCGTGGTGAACGTGACATCTGTGGATAGTTGGACATGCTGTGCCGGCTGTGTCTTGTGCTTGGGTGGAAGAGCTGGGAAGCACATCGCCTTTGTCTACTCACCTCTTTATGGAGCCCGAGATCTGGACAGAGAAAAGAAATGCAGGGAATCCCCCGTGCTGGTTGGTTATCCCATGGTATCCCTGTTTCAGATGAGAATGCCACTCAGGAGTAAACCACGAGGTATGAAGTCTGTGGGTGCCATAACTCGGGGTTTTCAGTGGTTCCACCAAACCACGCGCCACGCGCGACTTGCACTCCTCGCATCCTGAAGATGCAACATCATAAATTCAGCAACTCCGAAAAACGACTCCTTTTTGCAATAGATTGACGTGGAGACATACCCGGACCGATTTTTGAGAGCCCGCACACTTACTCTCTGGATCCTTTGAATTCCATTCATGTCCGTCTCAAAAAAGTCGCACCAAAAAGACGATCCGAGTTCCCATCGACCACGGAGGATCGTCGTTTGTTCTCGTAATTTCACCTAGTTGTGGACAACCAGAGGGTCCTTTATGCCACGTTCATGTCCGGGTAAGATGACGTCCTTTCAAACACTTTTCGAGGATCGAGGGAATCCTGGCATTGAGTTGGTCACCAGATTGGGTTTTACTGAAGAGATCCATTTTTCAACTTTTCATGGCTGGCTCCCAGCCCATGGTCTTAGCACTTTCCAACCCAGCTTAAACCGCCGTGTTTCAGCTGAGCGGAACCAGGTTGCACTTCATGCCTCATGGCTATGGGCACCGGATGGCAGAGTCCTCATTGTCATGCCTATGGGCTTCGTTTAACTTGGGATGGATTGGTCTCGAAGTTTTGGGGCGTTTCAGACTCTGAGATGCCTTCAAAGACCTAGGATGCAAATTGGGACCGTTTGCTGAAGGGTATTTCATGCATGTGTGAAGCTTTTCTTTCGCTTTATATAGTAGGAAGTAGGGACATGGTTTTTTTGTTGCCGAAATAGGACGACTCTCTTCACGCGCCCTGTGGCTATCTAAACTGCAAGCTGGAGAACGTACGCAAAAAGCTTAGGGGTTTCAGGCGTGTCTCCGAACTCATCTTCTTTAGTCGTACCGCATTTGGTTTTAGTCGCCCCTCCGTGTTTGAGACCTTTTTTCCTTTCCAGGTCTCCATGGTGCAGGTGCGCTACGCCTTGCAGCCGAGTGCCCAGTGGTCTAGTTTCTCATGCCTCTTAAAGGGGTTCTTTCTGACGAAAGCACCAATTGCGACTCGCAATCCGTGATTCTTGGGACAATGTTGGTGAGGGCATTTCATCTATGAAACCACTCGAAACACCAATGGAACAAGTTAAATAACCCCCACAACTTGCAAGCTGCACAAGACTGCGCTTGGGCTTGACCCTTCATTGGCCAGGTTCAAAAGCCTGATAGGTTTGGGAACCACCCGTACAACAAGTGGCCTTGTTCGCTCGCCCTGCAAACAACTCCGATGCGAACATCGGAACACACTGTTTGGAATGCGACATCGGAACCTGAGACTCCAAACGGACTACACACACAAGCATCAACGCTTTTTATGAAGGCAGTTGAGAAGATGCAATGCGAGACAATGGATGATGCAGTGCCGCAGTGCCGCATTGCCTGAAACTTATGGTGGAGTAGAACCGTCGTTCATATGGCGCAGAATGTCTTTGCTCACTTCAGAATGGGCGACTGAATCCATTGATTGGTTGCACCCCAGCAGCAACAAATCCAAGACTACTAGGACCTCAAACAGGCTTCACAAGCCTGGATTTCAGGAACGAGCACGTGAGCAGCAGATCGCTGTATTCATTAATTAGGAGACAAACAAGCAAGTGCTAGTCAGAGAAGGATGACGCGGGCTGAAATTTCAAAGACAACCGCATGACATTGCTGGAGGACTGACGATTGAGGTAAGCTGAAATGACCCCTTCAAAGGCAAGACACCAAAGTGAAGCTTACATCACCTGCAATGGAGATTTTAGGCTTTAGGCGACACTGTTCTTGCTATGCTTAGCAAGTCTCCACCCAAGTAATCCCGATCAGCTAAGCAACGTGAAACACCGTGCACACACGGGGGATAACACAACCCTGGTTGTCCTCGATCAACTAAGAAGCCTTTGGCAGCCCGGTCTGACCGCACCACTGGTGGAGCAGCTTTGTAGGCTTTGATGGAAGTGCCGCGTGTACTGTCCTTAATGCTGTGACTAGTGTGAGTCATGCATCAATCATCCTTTCGTGGAGGGTCCCAGACCGAGCAGGCCATAGCACCACGATCGCTCAGCAGATCCAAAACCGAATCCATACAACAGAGCACACTCACAGCCTCACAGCACGTCAGAAGCAACATGGTAACATGGCTGTTCAGTGAAAGAGCTCAGACTGTGAGTTTTTAGGATTTGGATTTTGGGTTGCGTACCCAGCGCCTTTGAAGGTCCAGTATCTTGCCCGAGATGCGCACAGATCTTGACAAAGATGCAGGGAAGCCCAGGGCTGCAAATCCCGCCGACAGATAGGGAGGTCCCATATGCTAGATTCTGGGGTGCTGGATGGTGCTGGGCGGTTTTAAGAGCTGTAAGATGGGAAGAGTCCGAACCAGGCAGCTTAGATTCATTTTCAATACTTGCTTGCCTGGTTGCTTTCATGTATCATCCAATCGCCGGCCTGCCAAAGGTGTGAGCAGATAGTCTCTGAGGCTCTATACCGGCAATACTTCCTGGTGGGTGCCAAGAACATCAGTGACAACAAAAACACCACCAGCGTCGGGTCAACAATCCCCCTGAGGAGAACTGATCTGTGGATTTGACCGGAACCGGTGGAGATCAGGTCTTGGATCGGGAGTGGCACTTGACCAGCCCTGTGGATTTGCAACCACGGCACCTGAACCGGAGCAGCCGATGCGAGTTCGAGGCGTGGTTGGCGGCTGACGCTGGGTAGACGGTTCAGATGGTAGACACCGCAATGATCTCATCATATATATACTATACTCAATTCAGATATTAGCAGCTCCCCGTGGAACGTTTCATCAACCTCTTTGGTGGAAAACCATTGGAAGATCCTGTGGATGCTTTTGGACTCAATTGAAATAATATAAGACTGCTTTGTGGCATGATAGTCATTTTCATCCTACGTTTGATTACCTGACAGTCCAAGCTAATTTTTGCTTTATGTAGAATGCAGAAGTTTGAAGCCCTCTTATGTGAGCTGAGTTCGGACCATTTTGATCATTTTCTTGACCTTGAGTAAATCCGTACTGCCGGACTTGATTGGCAACTGTGGTACCTTCAGGTTTCACCGTACTACAAACGGTGCAATTGCCACGAACGAATGTTCAACATCCTAATCTGCGAATGTTCACATCACTTGAAGGATTTGTGCGTGCGCATCAAGGCCGAGTGTGACCAACAGCTCACCTGGGTGCCAGGATTGGAGTTCGACAACTGCCATCCACGAATTGCACATGTTCTTCCATGGAGAATCCTCAGTGGAAAGGGTCATATTGTCCCCTACCAAGCATGTTTTATCATGTCTTCTCTTCTGGGTTAGCACCCATGTCTTCGTTTGCCCTCCGCCCCGGCGTTCCGGCCGCTAGTTGCCGACCTCTGCCGAGCTGCTGGATGGCGGGGTCTACATTTTTCAGGCGAGTTTTTTTCTCGCAGTGTGAAAGGAGGTGTCAAAGGAAGAGACGGCTTGAGGCATCTTGACGCTTTGAGTGCTTGGAAGGCATGGGGCGAGGTGGGTCAGGCATGTCAGAGTCTAGGAACACTACTAGGACTGGCACGATCATGTCGGGCCTTGTGGATGTTTCATCCCAGCTTGGCCCAGGTTCTTACTGTAAATGTGTCGAACATCGCCAAGTGGTGGGGTTTTCAATGGCTTTCAGACGAGCATGCTGACCGTGATGTCGGTGCTGTCCGGTCCATTCGCCCAGGAGGCCCAGGGTCAGTCTTTCTGGAGGTTCTACGGTTTGATTCGATCAGTCATGGGGTGCAATGTCCATGTCCGAGTTTGGCGCTTCCGTTCGGTTTGCCCCCCCTCTGAATCGACCTGCTTGGACCGCTCCGGTCAATCGTTTCGGACCTTGATCTGGCAGACATCGTAGGGCGTTCGTGCGATCTACCCTGCGGTTTCACACGATTCGGACGACGGAGATGCAGATCTGCGTCGCATCAGTCAACCTGTGGGGCAGCTTAAAGGAGAACGATTGGACAGAAGTGTTGCCAAAGGTTTCAACGGGGCAGATGTTCGATTCAAAGCCATTATGCCAGAAAGAGCTCGAAAAGCAAAAGAACAGCAGTGTCTGTAGGTAGAGACTCCCTTGCGTTTTCATGGCTTCAATATCACATCAAGACTGTTGGTCGGGGTGGGGTCTCTGTTGGGGTCTTCCAAGCTAAGAAGAGCCTCAGAGCCCAAAGGTGGTGTGGACAAAGCACGAAGTGGTGCATGCGCGGAGCCGAAGTGTGTGCGCAAACCACCGAAAAAACAACTCCCACTGAGCACTTGTTCGATCCCACCCACGGTTCGACAGCGTCAGGTGAGGCTGGGCAATGGCAAGAACTGGTCGCAGTGGTCTCATTCCTCCAAGCCTTTCATTTTCCAGGCGGAGATGTAGACCTCTTGACCTGCGAGACCTGCGAGTTCCACCCCGGACCTGTTGGACATTGCTGTGGTCACTGGGACTGGTGGTCAGCTGGTTCACTATGCAGAGTGATCCCTGACCTGGACCAAGAAGGTCTGAAGAGGATCTGGACTCCATCCCTGTTTTGCTGACTGGCCCAGAAACACATTTGCCAAAATTTGTAGTCCCCTTTCCTTCCAGTCCCTATCCAGCGCGCTTTATTACCTACAATATATTCACACTTGCATTGAGCTTGCGGTTGCAAGTTTTATGTTGACGAAAATTCACTAAAATGTACCACCGGGACATCTTGGCTCAAGTTGGGTGGCAACCTCGTGTGAGTTGCCAACGGTGATTTTGTGAAACTCGTGATCCTTAGGTTTTCATTTGCCGGGTGAGGTCCCGGATTTGGGCTTGCATGTGCAGGTCTTCCACAATGACCGGTTTGCAAAAAAGGGAGAGGCCAGCAGCTGCCTCGTCCTCAGCATGGCGGAGGGCTGTGGATGCCGTGTCCGCCTCCTGGTTGAGTCGATCCATGTCAGGGCTACTGACTGTAGCCGCGTCCTCAGCCCCGTCGGCTGGTTGAGCTTCGGTGAAAGCTTCAAGCATCACGTACTCGGATTCCAAAGGATGCGCCATAGCGATGCGCGCTCAGGGTGCATTTCCAGAACATCGAGGACGTCAACAAGGGCACGGACATCCCGGTGCCAGACACCGCAACTGGAGAGGCCCCCTCAGTTCCTGGTGGCTCTGGCCCGGCTGCTAGGGCTCGACCCTCTACGGCGGCTGACGTGCCTATGGCTGAGACGGAACCCCTATGCTAGAGGTGGCTGAACCACCGGTGGAATGGCCCATTTCTGCTGAGCCCCAACTACCAGCGGCGGCCTCTCCTGCAGAAGATGATGACGCCAGTGAGCGCATGGGATTACTATAGGTTTTTCTCCCCCCGCACCGGCGGCTATAGTGTAGACGCGGCGGATCCCATGGCGGCTGCTGACTCCATGGAGCCGGGCATGATGACACCTCCGGCGGCCAAGAGCCAAGCTCCGGAGCCTCCAAGACCGGCCAAGCGGCCACCTCCTGCGGAATGGTGGCTGCCTGAGACCAAGGCCAAAACCCTCCCTGGCTTCACCAGGGCAAAGGCGGCAGACAGCGCCTCAGTTCCCATGCCCATTCGCTTTTCGGCTGTGGAGGATCCTCCCAACCACCTGCGGTTCGACATGTTCCCGCCGTCGTTCCCACCCATTCCAGGGCACTTGGTCAACCTTTTGACGGTCTGCGCGGAGAAGGAGATGGCTGAGCTCTTTGGCCAATTCTCGGGGTGTCCTCTTTTGACCCCACAGGTGACTAGGATCATCGAGCAGTACCTGCCTTTGAGGGCGATTGCCCAACAGGAGAAGATCTGGACCATGAAGTACCAGAAACAACATGACAAGTGTGGCCTCGAGGCGAACAAGGGCCTCCACCGCCCTGCAGGTGAAATACCATTCACCTCCATGTGCAAGGCTTCACATCAGGCAGGAAATCCTCTCATCAGAGTATGAAGAGGATGCCCAGAAGACCGCCCAAAGCCTGCGGGAACAACGCCTAGCCAATCCTTCCAGATTTTTCATCCCGAGGCGGCCAAGGCCCTCAACCTCCAATCCCAAGCTATGCAAGGCTTGGCTGCAGCTGAGGCAGCAGTCCTTGCACTAATCCAGGAAAGCATGCAAGACGTCCCGGACAGCCAGGTCCGAAATGCAGGCGACGCCCTCATGAGGCCAAGAAGCTGGCGATGCTGCTGTGGACGATGAAGGTCCACAAGGGGGAGCTCCGCATGTTCGGAGGCGTCTGGCGCCGCGTTGGGGAGTTCAGTCCCCCACTGCCGGATTGGGCCCAACAAGCACCTGGCCAAATGCAGGAGAAGCAGCGGGCCTCCGCACCCACCCTTGCACACATGGCACCGACATGATCGAGCCCTGCCATTACCCAGAGCCTGCAGTCGAGGCTCAGCGGAGAGAGGGGCAGACCGCCGCTGCATGCCATCATCTCCACCTGGTGGGCCCACGACACTGCCACGGACTAGCGCTGGCGGCGGGAGATCCGCGCTTGGGACCTCCCTGCCCTCTTGGATGACTTGATCAACGGGGTGGCTATGTCCGCCAAGGCCATCGAAAAGGCCATGGGCCGCATTCAGTGGGCCACAGCCTGTTGCCCACTGACCAAATCAATGCTACAGCCCTTCTGGGCTTGGAAGATGGCAGTACAAACCATGGGACATTTTGGTGGGGTATGTTGGCATGTCTCCTGAAAGAGCTCTTCACTCTTCCCTTTGAACAGTACTCAGTACTCACCATTCCTGCCAAAGTCTCCCTGGTGGGGATGCAGCGACGCTAGCGCCTCAGCCCATGGAGATGGCCACGCAGGGGAATGGTGCAGTGATGCCCCCCATCCCTCTAAGGAAAAGGTCCTCTGGTTCCACTACCACACCCTGATTTAAACGTGGAACGGTCACAAGGTGACCATCAAGGATGGGGTCTGGGGAGGACCCATGCATCTCTCAAAGCACTACGACAAAAGGCTGCTTGCTGCTTTTGCTGCTTAGGGATGTTTTTGAGTTTTGGGTACATATAGTATTATTGCTTGACTTGCGTGTGCTTTGGGACTGGAAGGCACGCACATGTACGCAAAAGTTATTCTACGTCTACGTCATTACTTGTAACGAATGAAAACTTTTCATAGGCCGTTGCAACAGTTTAAGAAGTGCCTAACTACCGTATATTGTGTGGAGGCCAGAGGAATCTGGGTGATGGAGCTAGGTCATTGCGGCCAAATGGAGTGGAACTCTGCTACATCTGACTTTCTTCTTGCTTGTGACGTTTGGGGCTCGCAAGACGTACCGCTTGGAGTACCCTTCAACGACAAGACACTATACCGATGCTTTTGGAAGCCTAAGAATTTGAGCATCTATCCTGGAATCCGAGCCCTGGCGGGTCGTTGACTTTTGACTCGCCATGGTTGCACAGCTCGAGCTGCGCTATGCACTGCTGGTTTGACACTTTTGTGTGTTTTGACAGGTTCCTCCTCCTGTGGTGCCCACAGCAGCTTCCTTGAAAGCCCAGCGCACCGTGAACGTGGAGGCCGTCACCGAAGAGTGAACGTGGAGGTGGTCGAAGTGTGGAAGATGCGGGCCAAAGCATGTTTTTTCAAGAATGAATCCTGAACTGTAGAGCTTTGAAGGTTGAAATTTTGATGTCTAAGCCCACCGAATGAGTTTCTTGGACCAGGATGTTTTTGGAACACAACCTTTCGCACTTTCGCTCAACTCCATGGCGGTTGCATTGCTCCGCGTTGGTCCGGTTCAATCGATCTGATGCAAAAGTAATAAAACGTCTTTGTGTTGCTCGTGTATCTTGGTCGAAGATGGTCGAAGCCCATGTGCCGGAAGAGCTGAAGACGGCATTTGTTGGGACATTTGTTCACTTGCCGCCCAACTTGGGTGGGGTTAATGACACTCCTAGTGGGAGTCACTACATGGTTTTTACATGTGATGATCCTCTTACTCTTGCATGAATTGTTTGGCAGCTGTCCTCTTGCAGCTAATGGTGGGTAATCTTTTCGCGGCACATTCAACATTCCTTTCTCCAGAGTTTTTGGTTGGAGGAAAACATCAATCAGTGCAAGATAAGTAGCAGCCTCTAGATGGTCGTTCGTATTTGTGGAACAGGAGGCTCTCCTTTCAGTACATGACTTCTGGGGCCGGGTGAAATGATCCTTTCTGATCGATACTTCAGTGGTCCAATGGATCACATGGGTGAAACAGGTCGTTGGGCTTTCCTCACGCGTGAAAGAAGAAGCACCGGCAGGTGATGTCGGCAACAGCTGCCAGGGTGTTGGACACTCAGCCAGCCGGGTAAAGCTCCAGTGGTGCTGCTGGTGAATGACACTTCACTTTGTAGATGTCTCAAATGCCTATGTCATCGGTGGCCATCATGATCCCCATCGTTGCTGCAGATGTGGGAGCCACCAAGAGGCTGTCACAAAATCAGATTTTTGAGGGATCTCTTCACCAGCTGTCGCAGGGAGACCGGGATATTCCATTGTTTGTATGCCCAGAATGCCATTGGTAAGAAGGGCGTTCCTCTCGGATGCATCCAGCTGAAAAACGGCTGATCTTCTTGCCCTGTTGTTGAAGGTTGAAGAGCAATGGTCAGCTAATTAGGGTGGTATATATTATCAATTCATGTTAGTTATACAATTCACGCAGATTTCATGCCAAGACAGTCACGCCACGCAACACGATCAACCATGGCAGCTATTTGACTCTTCGGATCTCCATTCTCCTGAGGGTTTGGGGCGACTTCAAACCCGCCCCTGGCTTGACGATGCTAGAGTACGAGGCTGGACGCGCGGCACAGATGGACGGATCCAAACCCTCACATCCAAGGTGTCGCCCAAGACCGAGAGGAGATGCGTCGAAGCGCAGAGGCTGACCAAGTGGAACCGCTTTTCAGATTGGAGAGATGCCCTCGTGTGAAGGTATTGACCTGCTAAAAACCTTATCGACTGTGGAGGCCAAACACGGATCGACGCCCGATTTGCAGGTGCGTGCCACACCTGAGAAGGGCACAGGCAGCTCTCAGGCCATCGGGCTTGGCGCGGGTCTTGCGGCGATGGCCTGAGGAGTCTTGTAGAAGTTCTTATCAATTCTTATCAATGCTGACCAACAATCAGTCTTGTAGGAGTTCTTGATTCCTTACCAACAATCAGCTCTTATGAGTTCGAGTTCTTGATTTTCACGAACGATCCATGATCCCCTCCATGATCCAAATCTTTAGGCGGTCGTATATGTTGTATTGATGAAGACTCAACCTTAGACACTTGCGGGTCTTTTCTAGACTTCCCAGATGCACCCCTTGGGAACACTAGTTTGGTGGGTCCAATGACATCCTCAGTGTAGCCACATACCTTCGTTGTGGCACCCGAGCCTCGTCGCGCCTGGGCCACGAGGCATTTCCGCCGCACTGGATCACCTTTGAGCACCGCTACCGTGGAGGTGGGGAACGATGATGGGGAAACAGGGGTGTAGGCTGGACTTCAAGGCCACATCAATGGCCTCCAACCCAATAGCAATGGCCTCCAACCTAATAGCGACCTGCACCATAGTAGTAGCGATGGCCTCCGACCTAGTAGCAAAGGCCACATCAATGCACCTGCGGATGTTGGGAATGATGATGAGCCTCATGCAGTATGAAGCCTCTTCCTGTTGTTAGGAAACCAGTATGTTGCAGTCATTGCGAATGCGCATTTCCTGCGCCGACATCGTGAAGTCGTGATGGAGGGTATTCGTCGAAGTCATGGTTTTGGAATGTGGTCCATGAGTCCATGACCTCAATCCTTGAAGTGAATACTACTCCTTCAAGGAGTGGGCTGCAGGATGACGCAGGATTTCAGTGCCCTCACCCACCAAAACACCTAATTAGGGTATAAGATCAGCCTGTCGAAGCGACCACAAACATCCCTACTGTAGGTGGTTCTTTCGCCTTGATTGATGGATCGATGGAGTGATCAATGCTTACCTGCTTGCCCTGCGTGCCGGCCTGTGTCTATTTTGTGGCCTGGTTGTTCCCTTTGTTTTTTTGATCGATTGATTGACAGTTCCATCGAGCACAGCGGCCATGGCAACTTCCTGACTTCAGGCTTTATCGAGCACGAGCTCTTTAATTTGCTGCCCTTCACCTACTACATCTTTTCGGTTCAGGCCAGGTCTTTGTGGAAACTCCGGAAGCCCGACTTAAGACAGAGTTTCACCTGGACCACAAGCGTCTCACGTTTTCGCTCATGTGATTTCTACTCTGCTCAGCCTGGGTTGTGGGTGGCCAACTCACAAAATAGAAGGGTGTATGCTCACACGTTTGTGCTTGGAGGCATTCTTTTGCGGAACCTCGCAGCAGAACATAGCTCAATACTCTAGCTCTGCAGCTCGCATGAGCCAGCATGACATAGCCCGTAGGCCCATAGGTTGCAATCGTACATGAGTTACTAGAAAAACACACACACAAACTCAAACACATATATCAAGCACAATCAGAATGCCTATTCTGGAAGCCGGCCTACTATATAAGACTTTACGGCAGTCTCAAGAAATGTAGATTTAAGATGATTTAAGTATAAGATGTGAGCCTGAGCTCCAGTTCCACATCCCCTGTCCCTGTGCCAGCTCCTGGACATCAGACTCATGAAGACGTCTTTGGGAAGAGGGATGGATCGGTGACATCACACCCCTGACATGCCATTCATGAAGACATTGGATGTCGACCTCATGACTTCCTGCACCCCAAGTCGAGTACCCATTTCGTGGTGTCTTCTCGCGAGAAAGGATGATTTGAGAATCCGGCACAGGAGACATCACCCCCAACAGCCGCGAGAAGAAAACCGTTTGTTGCCCAACCACGCCCGGAAAACGGTCGCCTGGGCCACGCTGAGGCCCGCTATCCCAAGGTGGGCACCCGGGCCTGGTGCGGTGCCCCGGTGGAGTCGCCGGAGTGGACGGAAGTTCTTGCGACCAAGCACCGTCTTCGACCGAAAAAAAACAGTTCAGACACCCCAAGTTCTTTTGCGGCAGGCCCGGCAGGCACCACCACCGCGAATCATTTGCAACATGTGAAGCCAACATTTGGTCAAAGTCATTTGCCTTGGCGGCACCACCTGCGGTCCATCTCAGGTCGGGACAGCAGCTGAGCCATCCCATCATCCTGGAACCTGCGGTCGCGTACCAGGCGGGGGATTGAACCGGGGTTCGAGCCGGTTCTGGAGTGCGGCCCGGGAGGCCCGATGAACAGAACGCAGGTGATGGGTGGCTTTCCGAAAGGTCTGAAGAGGTGCAACCTTTCTGAAGTCTTGGAGTCTCAACATGGGCAACTGTCCATTTTCTTGTCCTGTTTGTCCATGTAGTATTGCGATGGGATACGAGGCGAACATGTGTGTTCCTTTTGAGAAGGTGATTCCTGCGAGGTTTGGATTGAACATCCATTTCCACGCGAACATCTCCAGCAGGTTCATCCAATAGCAATCTACCAGTAGCAGATTGTCATAGTCATAGCAGTTTTGGTGCGGAAGACATGTGAGTGCTTTCTAGCGGCGAACGAGGGCCATCTTTCGCGTCGGAGGCGCTGGAGTTTTGGGCAACCTCTCGATCGCACGAGGGTCGAAGGTTACCGATCGAGCGACCTGCGAGGATCCGCCGACCCCACTGCCTGTGCCCGAGAGGGCGGAGGAGGAGAATCGGTGTGACCAGAAGTGACGATCGAAGCTTTTTTCTTATGTGACCTTCGAATAGCAATGGCCTCCAAGCTAATAGCAATTGCCACAGTGCGTAGCTTCTTGTTCCTCATGGGATGCTGTGTTCCGAGTAATGGGTGGCAAGCTGGCGGACTTCGTCGAAAGGAAGTTAGGGTCCCGAAGTTAGCGGTCGGCACCCACCCTAGGGCCCTAGAGCTGAGGGAGCCGCTGTGGCAAAAAGGATGGAAGAAATCGAGAAAGTTGATCCGCCAAAGTCCGATCAAGCTTCATCACAGGCGTTTTTCAGGATTTCTTCTGATTTGCACTGTGGCACTGTGGCCGGTAATAGCACTTCAGCCTCCGAAGGTTTTTACGATCACCTGATTTGCCCTGCAGGAGGGTTCTGGAGATTCCATGAATTGCCTGTGGCTCAGAGGTTTGGGCCAGTTCGTGCTCGAGTCAAGAATTTCAAAGTCTTTGACTGGTTTGTGAACTCCCAAACCTCTACGGTTGGTTGAGTCAGTGGCCAAGTTCTTCTAGAACCTCTTGTGTTTGTCATTTCTTTTGCATGTTTGATACTGGAGTACGTTTGCTATGATTAGTCTGAATGCGCGGGTTTGTGAAGCACACTGGGCGCTAAGCCGGCTCGTGCACGCGCGTGCGCGCGTGGTGTTTTGCTAAGGGGTACCGGCTCGCGCCCACCAGAGAAAACGGCAAACTGTTTGATTTTTACTGGTTTTACAGCGCGTGTGGTAAAACATTTAGGTGACAGACCCGAGAAAAATGGTAAAATTTAGACTGTCGATTTTTACCGCTGTCACCGTGTCTTTCGGTAACATTCATAATTGAGGGACTCGGGCACTACGGCAAACACATTCTCGATTTAGGAACCCCGTAGCCCAAGCAACACGGCTAAACAAGCTCAGATGCGAGTTCTTTCTCTAGGGCAGCTGGCTTGGAGGGTGCGTGAGTGAAACAGCAAGCTTGGAGGGTGCCGAGGGAACTCTTGTGTTGTGGTTCGGCCGGAGCTGGAAGGCCCTCGAAGGTGTCTCCAGGAACTTGGAGCTGGATCGCTAGAGCTACACTGCTCAAACGACTCCTTTATGCTCCTTGTATCCCAGGATTTTTGAGGCGAATCTCTGGGCCGTAAAGCTATTCCCCAAGTCAAGGCTTGCCCTACTCCGCCGCCATGTTTGATCAGACAGTTTCAAGCCTTGCAGCCGGAGATGGCACGGATTCGTTGTGCCAAGGAACAAGTCGGAGGACGTTTCACGTGCACCTCGTCGCCTCAAATCTTGGGGCAGCCGTCACAGGTCTCAATTTTTGGATCACCGAATCACAGGTCACTTTTTCCAAGTTCTACAGGGAGCATCTGCCAGTTCATGACAGGAAATCGCCATGGCAGCGTGCTCGGCCAACTTGGTGATGTGGGTGAAATGCTGCAAACCCGTCATGCCAATGGTACCTGCAATGCCTCTTGTCTGCACTGAGAAAACTTCCAAGAGGGATTCCAACGTGGCCTCTCATCCAACAATAAAGAGTTGGGGAAAACCGCCGGGTGCACAGCCGAGGCCTGCATTTTTCAAGCCTCACCGGGTGGTTGCATCAAAGAAGAGTGCGACTTTTGCCACCTGCCGCATGAAATCTCTTGCCTCCCTGTTCCTGGCCGCCCGAGCAAGGGGAAGCGGGATGCCATCAAGGAAAGGATCTTTGAGCTCTTCTTAGTGCACGATGAAGATGAGAGGCACAGGCACTTGCAGGAGGAAGCTTCAAGTCATCCATACGCGCGGAAGTTTATCAACATTTTTCTTAAGAACCCTCCCTTTGAGGTCCGAACGGTCGGTTCAGATTTGGTGGTCTCCTTATAGGGCGACCAAAGCCCGAGATTGGTGGAAAGGCCACGCGTTCGGACTTTTGGACGGACAAACATGATTCCAACATGTAGCGATGCACTTGTTTCTACTAGCTTCTTGTTACTACTAGTAAGGCACTTGTTACTAGAAGCGATGCACTTGTTACTAATAGCTTATTGTTTCTAAAGTAGTCAAAGGACCAGATGCGACTTCATTTGTCCGCCCTTGATTTGCCCACTGGGAGACCAAGGGCCTGTTCAGCCCAGTGCCGGAGGCGGAGCCAAAGAGCTCGACCAGTTCCGAACACATCCTCCGGGCTAAGCGGAGCCTTTTGGACCCTAAGTCTCCCGGTTCGGGAAGAGGCCTATGTCGATTGGACGAATGGATTCGTTCCAGTTCCCCACACCTGTGGCGAGGAATCTGACGTTGGGAGGTCTCCAATGAGTGGCCGTGTCTCCAACCACTTTCGAAAGTGGTGCTCATTTCGACTTGTCAGGCTTCCTGACGTCACGTGTTTCTTCTTTCCCGGCTCACAACGTGGTACACCGGCGCTCAAGGAGCGCTCCGTTGTTTGCCAGGGTGGCCCAGAAAGCACTCACCCGATGGCTGAAAGAGCAACTGATTTGGGGAGAATGACGTTTCGGGGTACAAAAGTCCATGGAGCAACAACATCCTTCAGAGGCACTGCCACAAAAACGATGGCCTGTTTGGCCTTTTCCCTCCCCTCATTAACCCTTCACCTGTGTACAATGCTTGGTCGCATTATGAAGAGGACGATTTACTGTACTTGGATGAACCTGTTGAAGCATGATAGGTCCATTTAGGTCTGTTAGAATAACTAGCTCTTTAAGCCGGAACAGGCTGACAGCTTGTAGCCCGGCAGGTTCCGGGCAGGGCATGTGTGGAAAATAATTTCAGCGGGGGCAGAAATGCCCTGCCCGGAAATCGCTTGGTTCAAAAGAAGAGGTTTCTTGGTAGAAAGCATTCTTGAGTAGTGTACCTCCAAGGAAGCAACAGGAACGCTTTGTGAGATTCCAACTCCATGGTTTCTCCACAACAAGACCGTGTTGAATCAGTTGACAGAGCCGTTGCCTCGTGCGAAGAGGGGCCTGCAATTGTAAAGGGTTGTCTCGAGATTTGGAGGATTTGAGAGACAACTTCAAGGTTTGAACCGGGCTCTGCTTCTGAGATATCTTGAGACACTCCCAAATCACACAACGATCATAATGACCGTTGTGTCACTAGGCCAGACAGAGAGGTCACAGTGTTGGGCATGGGCTAATCAGAGACGTACCATTTCGTGGATCTCCGATGTGCCTGGTGCGGTTTTTGACAAACAGAGCTTGCAGGACTTCGCCGCTTAACACGCTGCAGTCTTTTTTGTCGACCCTGAGGGTGGTTGTGGTTGACCCGGTGGATTTGGATCTTCCAACCCCAGGCTTTTTGGTAGAAACCGGTCACAGTGGAAAGCTTCTTGAGGTTGCATGAGGGATAGGTGGGAGATTTGGGGGCATGCAATTGCTCTTCGAGAGAAGTGGTATTGTCCCGGGTAAACATTTGGTATGCTGTTTACAGCTTTGCTTTATTAGGTGTTTTGATGGAGATACTGTACCAGATTGACAGTTTGACAGAATAGTGAATAGTGAATAGTTGCTTGCATCCTGAACTTCAAACATTCGTCTACGCAAAGCAATTTTATTTTTATTAGAGAATACTGGTGGGCCCTGGCAGTGCCGAATGATCAACTCGCCCGACACATCAGGTCGACGGGAAGGATTGTTTGGTAGACGACCAATCTTCATCGCTGCAATAGGCATTTCCAATCGTTTCCAGTTTTCTGCGTCCCGAGTTTGCTGACACTTCGTGGGGACTTCCTGAGGCTACACGATTGTGGAGTTCCCTTGCGAGGAGGCGCGGCGCGGCCTGCGACTTGCTTGGCGAACAAGGGACATGGAATTTGGACAGGGCTTTGATGCGTGGATCTGCCACCGGATCTGTGTGGATCCGCTGAAAGTTTCATGGGAAATGGATGGCATCGGTGTCAGGTCATATAGTATCATAAGTAGTATATACATATATATATATATATATGTTTATATGTACGTGTATATACATATCCTCTGAAGCTGATGCGTCCTTTTTTGATCATTTTTTTGGTTAACAACATCTTTTTCTTGGGGGATGTGATTTTATGTGGTGGAGGTACTGTGATTAGTGAATGGCTCTTGACTCTTGGCATGCCAGCGATACTTAGGGGATTTTGTGCCAAAACAGCTCCTTTATGCTTTTAGTATTCTATTGGTACTCAAGATTCAAGATTTCCATGGAACAACTTTTTCTGGGAACTCTTGAATCTTGAATCTAACAAACGCATATTGGTCTTTTTGCCCAAGAACTCCTTACCATAGACTCAAACACCTTGCTAAATTCCTGCAGCCATCTCCGTTGCAAAAGAAAGGTACTAAGTACCAAGACAGCCCGGCTAGATGTTTGAACATCGGATCTCAAGACATCAAGAGGGATTTGAGCATTTGCAGTGATCCTGCACCTTAGGCTCACTATTGTGCTCTAATTTCTTCATGAATGGTTCTTGCGTTGTGGTAAGGGCTGGGTGTATCATCTCCACTGCATTTGTTCCCGTGATTGCAATTCGCCTTTGCTCAATTTTCGCAAGTCCGCCCCCTCTTGCAAACTAGAAATACTTCATGGAAGACACCTCCACAACTGCCAGCCTTTGTGGAAGGCTTTGCTTTAAGTCCGGGTCTCCGGGATGTGTCGATTAGATTCCGACTTTGGGCACGTCAAGACCCATTTGTGTTTGAATCATGGGTTCATTTATTGACAAAAGTCTTTGAATTTCCAAGTCCAACGTGAGAGGACTTTGAACCTTTTGAACAACCAGGTTTGTACTGTAGCAGCAAACAAATTGTCTATTCCCAGAAAAGATTTGAATTTCGAAGTGCAAACTTACACTATAATTAGTTGGCTCGTCCTTTTCTCACTCAGCTCGTCCTGGCCGATACAATTGATTTCATTTACAGTACTCTTCCTCTTTACGGATACAGTACATCTTTTTCTGGCCTCAATATGCTTGCCCCATGCTCAAATAGTATTTCTTTCTATTTGCAAATAGGTTCTTGAAGATTACTGAGACTGAAATAGAGGAAACATCAATCGAGAATACAAGGAGTTTCGCCAGATGCAAGAGGATTGGCCCCCTATCCTTTCCTCCTTTTATACAAACGGGTTTTACATAATCCTTTTTTTGAATGGAAGACTCGAAGACGAGTTTCCAAACAGTAGTGAGTGAAGCATTTCGAAATCAAATACCTCCCAAGTTGCGAAGTGAATCTCCACTCACACCAGTCCCCAAACTCCATAAATTGGTATCCATTCTGAGCATCATTCAAGATTTCGCTGTTTATATGTATATAGTGCGACATAAGGATGCTGGACAAAGGGATGCTGGGTGTAAGCACGTGCAACGTTGCATAGATTTTTTTGCTGATGCACAAGCGTTTGCAAAGTGCGTAAGCTTTGCGTGACTACGTGTTTACATGTGTTTGCACTAAAGGAAAATCAAGGGCATATGCTCATGCAGTGGTGTGCTGCAGAAAGTTTATCAATCTTTGTTTGCCTACGCCTAGCGTAAGCACTTCATGTCCCTGCATACACACAAATTGAAATGTGAGTCATGCTAGCGAAGCGTAGGAACTTGCATACGCACCTCCTTACGACCCTGCGCTCCAGACAGGGCTATGAACAATGCTCTTCTAAATACTGGTAACCATCTGCCTCAAAGGCCTCAAAAGGGCAACTTCTTTTTGGCGGGGGGTGTAGCATGTATATATACATATATAATATACAGTGTATACAGTGTATATATATATAACGTATATATATATAAATCAACACATAAATATGATGTATATGATGACATGAGTGTATTGTGCTTAGTCCTGTCGGACGGCAGTACCGTGTTTGACTGCAGGTTTCAGATGTCCCAAGAACCCTTGGACCCCCGATAGCACGGTTCGTACCCAGACTCTTTCAAAGGGCCGGATCTGCAGGCTGCTCTATCATTCTGTTCAGGGTTGGACCGTGCTTTTGCACTCGCATGAAACATCCAACGTGCCTACCTCGCCCACTGCGCATGATCCAACCACACGCAGCTGCCAAACAAAAACATGAGCGAGCTTTGGACATAATGGACACAATCCCTTTCACTTTCAGTACTTTCCTCCTTTTTCAGGGCATAACGCAGACCAGCACATAGGCTGGGCCAGAATCCGTGTGCGGGTGGAGTAGATCATCCCCTTGCAATCCAGGCTTCGCCGACCCTAAAAGATGAAGGGGTAGAGTAGAACACCCATGGAACACGAGGACACAAGCATCATTTTGAGACAACCCCAATTTTGCACAGCAACCAACCTTCCAAAACAGACAGGAACTTCATGTCACATCCAAGAAGTAAGCCAACCAAACAGGAAAGCAGACCAGCCTTGCAGGAGGACATGCACTACGACTTGGAGTATGCGCACGTCTTGGGAGATGAGTTGGATACTGCCGAGCTTCGCTCCATCAACAGCCTCTGGCGGGCACCGGCCGAGGCCGCGCGGGATGCTGCGGTGCCTGCGCGGGCACCGGGAGGGTCCTTTCGATGCGGGCACGCGGTCTCATCGGTCCCACGGAGAATTCCAATCGGTTTGATGAGTCATATGAGTATTCCCAAAGCAAATCCCGAACACATATGAGAAGCACTGGGTATGGGGTTTATTGAACACAGAGATGGGTCGAGTCTAGGCAGTCTAGGCTTCCAGGTTTTTTCTTGCTACAGAACAAAGCCAACTCCCGTGATTTCACCTACTTTCCCGAAAGTCATCAAGAGGCAGAGACTTTCCCATTCATTCTGCGTTTCATTTGAAGCTGGGTCACAACCAAGACCCAACTTGGATTCCTACTAGAGTACGCTGATGCTGGCTGAACATTTCCGGCTGTCCACAACATGTGTGACCTTCTGTTCACGGGGCTTTTCATGACCTTGTGACATCCTGTGACTATACGGCTTGACCGCATCGCGCTATTCGTTTTTTGGGTGTAGATTCTAGCCACCAAGCTCGCCTGAGCACTGGTGCTTGATGTCCTTGAACATATTCTGAGCCAAAAGGGATGAGGATTCGGATCGGCATCAGATCTTCATCACAATTGGTCGACCCCTTTTTTCCAGGAACTGAGGCACTCGACATCAGGTGGACTGACAGCCTGACAGCCTGACTGATAGGCAGTCCTTTTTGTTGCTATGAAACAGGGTTTTCCTTCTGAGACTCATCAGAGGTCCAAGCGACCGCTTAGTTTTCACGAGTTTCCAAGAGAGATTTGTCCAGAAGACATCCATGTTGGTTTCTAAGGTAGTCCAGAAAGTTGCTTTGTTGGTTTGAGTTTTGCACTTGCATGGATTTGCACGGGTTTGCGGTCTGTAGATTCGAAAGGCTCCTTCCTCTTGACACCCACTAGATAGAAGAAGTAGAGGTTGACCACATGCCAAGGTATGTTTTACATTGTTTTACACAATATATGACTGTTTTGTGCAATGATGTGGATGCCAAACTTCTCTTCCTCCGTAGCATCGCTTTCTTGATTGGGAAAGGAAGGGAAGAGAGCCCAGAGAGACAGGGAGATTCGGGAGGGGAAGGAGACATATCTGTGCTGTCTTGGAGAGTAGCGGTAGACGTACTGCTTGTCATGCTCGTAGTATATCGTAGTAATGGTGCTTCACCTGGACACGATAGGTGTGGGAGAAGTTCTCGACACCCGATCCAGGTGACCTTGCTTGATCTGGGCCGGCCGGGCCCTTCGGGCGGACACCCACAACCACGCTGGCGCCCCTTGGCGTTGTTCCGCGTGTTCCAAGCGAAGTTGTGGGATTGTGGCCAGTGACAGGTCATGGAACCCTGTTAAGTGTTTTAATCTTTTTTGTGTGTAAATCAGCGGCTCGAGTCATCCACAAAGTTCAGTGGCTCGACATCGATGTGTTGTTTTGACTTTGGTCTCGGAAGAACAACGCACTTTGGTGACTCCAAGGGAATCCGAGAAGTCCCGAGATTTAGGCAATCATCACCCCCCTCCCATTGATTCTTTGTGCACAATACTTCTAACCCCCTATGGTACAAATTAGGATGTGAGTATTTGCCCAGGTGTCCCATGTATGGGATCATCAGAAAACAGGACTCCACCACACCTTTTGTTGAACGCTCGAAACGAGAGGTTTCTCCAAGCCTCCCAGATCGATCTAGCAGCATCGATCCGCAGATTTCTCGGGTGTCCGTCAGATTTGGAGAACTTTGAGGCGTGCAGCTGCCAGACATCCGGAATTTGAGGGGTGATGTTCTGAAGCTCGTGTGGTCGCCCAGCTTTTTCGATCCGATTGTCGCCGCAGGTCAATCGGGGGAGGCACAGGGATTGGATAAAGAGAAGGGTGAGGATTCTGAGCTAGGTGGGAGAAATGCACAATATATACTGTGTCTGTATGTATGTATATATAGAGGTGTCCACGTAGACATAGAAAAATATAGATTGACCAGATGGGTGTCTTCACCAAGAGAATTGTGCATCGCTGCATCACCCTATACTAGACCCTCCAAAGACATATATCATAAGCCAACAATGACACGGCCTTCTTGAGGATCAGCTTTCCACCCTTTCGACGCCAGAGACCCTTTTTGCCGAGGCATTGCTCCAGCGGGTGCGCTTCCGACTGCGTGCCCGCATCACGCCAGAGGCAGATGGGGAGGTGATCCAGCGGGTTCGCCTCGGGAGTTCTGTGTTGGGGAGGTGATTTGGGACAGACTGATTGTAGAGTGCATGCAATGATACTCTCCAATGGTGGGTTGGGGCACAGGTCTTCTGCAAAAGCGGTACAACTTCCTGATGGTCTGATGGTCAACCGACAGCGATATGTCGGATACATCTTGGCCGGCCGCACCTCTTCCTTTTTGAACACGCGGAATACACACCCAGTCCAGCTCCAGTAAGACCAACACTTGTCGTGGTCATCATCACCATGCTAATAGTTTGACTACAGGATTGAACCGAACGGTTGTGGAGTGCTTCCAACAAGACGTCTTCCTCAACAAGCCCCAAAATTCCCACCCACCGTTGCCTGTGTTTCTCCCTGACATCTCCGACCACTTGCACATCACTGGTTTTTATGCCCAAACCTTCCCGTTCCAAAGTAACTACCCCAATCCAACACATCAGTTCACTGTTCATCGCTTTGACCTGCTTTCAACTCAGAACCTGGCGTTCAAGTAGGAGACCCTACTACTGAATTCGACCCTCCAAAAATCATCGATTCCAAAATGGGTCGCCACTGGACTGGACCCGCTTGTCGACGTAGACCATGTCTAGACCGTCCGTCGCCTCCGTCGCCGACGGTCGACGTCGACCCGAGGGCTCGACCTCCCGCTGGTGGCCATTTGGCGAAATCCGCTCGATTCCGGGCGAGCGAAGCTTCGGTGGATGTGGATCCCAAAGGTCGCAAAACAATCCTTTTCGCATTCGGGGGGGTTTCAATGCGGATTTCTCTCCTCCTTGCTTTAACAGTTAACAGCTTTGCGATGCTTTGCGGATCTTCCGCTGGCTTCATGTCGAGTCTTTGCAGTTCTAGGCTTAAGAGCTAGGACACGTTCCATAAAGTTTTGGGTTTTCGTCAAACTGTCGCAGACAATCCATGAACCCTGCATGCAGGGGGACCCTTCATAGAAGGGCTTTGGACCCAGTGGAGGGCTCACATTTGAGATAGGATATTACAAGATACTGGTATGTGTCAATCTGTACTTGTTCGATATAGTACTAGGTCACCAATTGTAATGGAATGAGAACTGCTTTACTTATAATTTTGCCTTGACTACTATGTGCGGGGGGCCTCGCAGCTGGGACTTCCACCATACGCTTCCACCATACGCCGGTGAATCCTCTCCGTTCTTATACGGAGCTTATTATACTATCATTTTTCTGCCACCATGTTGGTCCACCTTGAAAACAACAACAGGAGCACATTGAGAATAGACGATCCACAAGAGAGGCACATTGTGCATCTAAGTCTGATGATGTTATATATTCACTATTTCAGACAATAGTAACTCATCCTGATTCAGAGGATTGACTTTCTCCAAGATGATTGTTTTGGACCGCGCAGCATGCTGTGTGAGTGCCATAATACATAGATTGCACTTTCACACCAGATTCATGCCACCATAATCCACTATACACCTGGGACGTTTCTGAAGGGATTTGTGCAGTGCGCAGTGACGGCAGTGACGCATCTTTCCTCGGATGCTGGACAATTTGCCAAAGTTCTTCATTTTGGAAACCAGTGTAGCTAAACAAAACTAGGGAGTGTAGCTGAACAGCAACACCAATAGGTTGTTTGGGGGAGTGTCATAGGCGTACCATGTGTAAACATCATTAAACCACATATGTCCCAGTCCATTTGGCCCTTGAGACTCGAGCTAGCTCTCATCGTGCTCTGTGGCTGGGTTGTGCTTGTTGCTCAACTTCACCTGCTGAACTAGCTTCACCGGTGGATTTGCTGGTCATGATTCATGATTAGAAGAAACCATAGTAGACAAATGGGTTTGCACGGTCAGGCTACTTGTAGTATGCATTTTTTTTTTCTGCTGATCATATCTTCAACCCTGTATAGAGATTTCCAGCTACAATTATCATATTTCTATAGTCTATAGATATATAGATGGCATATTATGATGGCATGTGACACTAAAAGTGCGTGACTTGTTTGTATTTGGGGATGACTTCAACATCGTTTGTGGCATCTGTCGCCACAATCTGTCAAAACGACTGCTGCCGTGCCGCACAACTACTGAATTTCAAGGTACCAGGTAGCACTGAGTAACATTGCTCCGTTCGTAGCGTCCGATCGCTCCTAGTAGTAAGGCCAGGAGCCCCTAGTAGCTTCTTGCTCCTAGTAGCGATGCCAGGAGCCCCTAGTAGCGTCCTTGCTCCTAGTAGCGATGCCAGGAGCTCCTAGTAGCGTCCTTGCTCCTAGTAGTAAGGCCAGGAGCTCCTAGTAGCGTCCGATCGCTCCTGGTAGCGATGCCAGGAGCCCCTAGTAGCGTCCTTGCTCCTAGTAGCGATGCCAGGAGCATAGCGTCCTTGCTCCTAGTAGTAAGGCCATAGGCGTCTGGCCCAAGCCTTCACGCGGCGCGCCTGTTATCTCCACTTTCGAGTGGGGACACGAATTGGGCCATGAGAGCCCTTTTCGGGGTACGCCATGGTATTGTTCGTCACCTGTTTCGTGCCGATACACGTTGGCGAAGTGGGTCCAAAGAGGATATTCTACCACGGCAGGTCATCTACCGGCATCGTGACTTTGCCGTGATCGAATGTGTGAAGACAGATGGAATGACATGTATTTTGAAGGTCACCAACTCGATTCTGGCCTGTATGAGTACTTCTGAGTCCTCACAGCTGTACACCTGGAAAATCGGAGGATGCCTTCAGATGGGTGTTGTCAAGTCAGTTGACAACCAGAATTTGCCGGACCCGTTTTTGATGCGTGATCATCCAAACATCCTTCCTGGCTGTACAGATCCATCCTATCAGCCTCTTCCAGAGTTCTTCGAGCCATGGGCACAGGATTATGCCCGTTCAGAGTCGGTGACAGGATTTGGTCTCATTCAAGAAGACACGGCATTGTGGGAACCTTGGTGCTGGCGTTTCGCCCACTTACAATTGACGAATCCGCAGCCAATCTCTGCGTGCCAGGAACGGTCTGACCAAGATGCCACAAGGCTAACAGTTTCAGGGAATACTATAGCAGTTGAGCCAACTGGACAGCCTTTGGAGAACTCCACCTCACCTCCCACATGCCAGATTGACTCTGATGCGACCCTTACGCCATTTCGTGAGGTGGAAGGAGGCCAGGTTTCCACACAGGACGACCCTCTTCTGATGTTAGAACCGTGGGCCTATACATGTGTACACCATGACACTACTGGTAGCTCTCTCCGGAATTTTGATGAAGACCAGTTTTTTGAACCATGGAGCGCACATTTCGTACCCTCAGAGATGCGTACGAAAAGGAGGGATCCACCTCCATCACAGTCGGGTTCTTACTCGGTGACACCAGAGCGTCAACCTACCTTTTT